TGAGGGGGGTACTAATGGTGGGNCTGGCGTATCACAGAGCGGCCAACGGTGCGTGAGGACTCCACAGTGAGCANCGGAAGCGTGTGAAGAGTACGAGGTGAGCTTTGTTTTGACGTGCCTGAAAGTTGTGACCAGGGGCCCGGCCGCAATTTGGTGTTGGCTGAGGAGCGCGCCTTTTTTTCTTGATTAAGCCGTTTCGAGGGGGGGTACTTATGGTGGGGCTGGCGGGTCACAGGGTGGCCAACGGTGAATGAGGACTCCATAGTGAGTAGCGGAAGCGTGTAATGAATGCGAGGTGAGCTTTGTTTCTACGTGCGCCGTAAATTGTGACCAGGGGGCAGGCTGCCATTTGGTGTTGAGGCGCGCCATTTGCTTTGTTTGAGCCGCTTTGAGGGGGTACTAATGGTGGGGCTCGCGCGTCACAGGATGGTTCCAGGTGGACGCGGACTACAAAGTGAGCACCGAAAACGCGTGAAGCAGATGGCGTATGCTTTGTTTTGACGTGTGCCGAAAATTGTGACCAGGGGCCCGGCTGTCACTCGGTCTTCGCGAATGGCCCGTCGCTCGCATTTGTTCAATTTTTGGTTTTTTCTTGTCGTGGCGGCCATGAATTTTACATGACAAGTCAACGTTCGAGCTTTTGGTGCGCTGTACTGTCGGTACTCAATCGAAACTTTCAGAATGTTTATTGTCATGTGGGTTTGGCGCAACCGCTAACAGCGACACGATCGGAGGCTAACCGCTAATGTGTTAGTGGAAGGATCGTTGAAAGACATCAATTTATAATATCAAGGCGAGGAAGCAAAGTTTGAAACGCGTGCAAGGATACAAGTCGAGAGAAAGAGAAGCAGGTGGCGTGAGGACGGTACATGATCATTGAGCGTGAAGGAGGAATTGAGCAACAAAGCGGCGGAGAGGAAGATGAAGATGCGGCAATCAGGTAAAAATTACGAAGTATGCAAAGCAGATGAATTTGAGAGAGCAGGATGGGGAGGCGGCGTTTGGCAAAATGTGTGATTGAAAGAGCAGCAAGAGTTGAGGGAAAGATGATCGGTTTGGAAAGTCGACTTTCAGGAGAAGAGAGATTTGGAGAGGGGAAGCGCAACAGGTGGCGTGTGGGACGGGCGGGAAGGTAAAAAGTAAAAAAAAAAAAATAAATAAAAAAAAGGTGCGAGATGGGGCGAGAGAGGAGATGGATAGGAAAGGTGAACGGAAGATATTGAACGAAGGGGAAGGATTGAAAGAGATGGGAGCGAGCGAGTGGCGAACAGCATGAGCAGTGGGACAAGCAGACGACGAAGCGAGGAAAAAAAAACAAAAAGCATGGTGAAGATGAAAGGGGCATTGATGGGATGGCAGGGGAAGAGACGAAAAGGGGCACGGAAGAAGTGGAGGAGAGGG